AAGGACGGCATCACGATGCTCTGGGACCTCAACGAGGGCAAGCACCTGTACTCGCTCGAGGCCGGCGACAACATCAACGCCCTCGTCTTCTCGCCCAACCGCTACTGGCTCTGCGCCGCCACCGCGTCGTGCATCAAGATCTTCGACCTGTGCGTCCTCTCTCGTGTTCTCGTCTCGTCGAGCGGCACTGACCTCGTCTGCCCCCTCGTCTTCTATCGCCCTCCTCGACTCGCCCTCCTTCTCGACCTTCTCAACTCGCCCTCGGCCTCTCCTCCTCGCCTCTCTCTTCCCTCCTCTCCCTCCTCTCCTCTCTCTCCCCTCCTCGCCTCTCTCTTCCGTCTTCGTCCCTCACCCGCCACACCTCCCTCGACCGTCCACTCCTCGCCCTGTGCGACCTCGCCTTCCCAAACGTCCTCTCCCTCTCGCCCCTCGCCTCGCCCGCCTCGCCCGCTCTACGTCACCGTCCCGCCTCTTCGCCCACCTCCCCTCGACCCATCTCGCCCCGCCGCACCGCCTCGCCGTCGCCTCCTCGTCCGCCTCTCCCCCCTCTCTCTCTCGCCCCTTCTCCCGCCTCGCCTCGCCTGCCCTCCGCGCCTCTCCTCGCCTCGCCTCGCCCCTCCCTCCTCGCGCTCGCCCCGCGCTCGCCACTCGCCCTCGTGCAGCGAGTCCAAGTCGATCGTCGACGAGCTCCGCCCCGAGTTCGACCTCGGCGCCAAGGCCCGCGAGCCCGAGTGCACCTCGCTCGCCTGGTCGGCGTCCGGCGAGACGTTGTTCGCTGGTTACACCGACTCGGTCGTGCGCGTCTTCTCGGTCGTCTAAGCGGCGACGCCGTGTCGAGGAGAAGGTGGACGGACGTGTTCTCTGTGGAGCGCCCGGGTCGTGCAATCACACACTGCTCGAGTCTCTCTCTTCGCGAGTGCGAGCGAGAGCGTGCGAGAGAGAACTTTCGTGTCGAGAAGAGCGAGAGAGCGAGAAGGCGAGGGTAGTTTACTTCAGGGGAGGCGCACTCTCGCCGCGACTTGGGAGAGATCACAAAAGCGCGTTGCACAGATTCAGGACAAAAGCGAGGGGGAGAGAGGGGAAGCTACGGCATCGAACGGTGCGGGCGCGCTCACTGACGCCGCTGGCGGCGCGCGACCACGTCGACGAGCTCCTTCATGAGCGCCGTCCGCGAGGCGCTCAAACGGCCCGCAGCGTCGTGTGCGGCAGCCCTGCCGCCGTGCGTCGCCGGGTGCGCCGCCGAGTGCGCCGACGTCGAGAGCGGGCGAGGTGCGGGCGCCGAGCGGGCGAGGTGCGGGGTCGGCGAGTTCGAGAAGGTCTCGGTCTCTCACTTGGGCTCGAAAGAGGTGAAGAGCTCGAGAGCGGCGTGCACGACGGTCCTTGCAGGTGTGGCTACCGCGGCGCGACTCGCTCGAGCACCTTGCGCACGAGCCCCGCCACCTTGTCCGCCTCGTCGCCGCCCTCCTTGCCCTGCTCCTCCCACCGCCTGACGACGCCCTCGACCATGCCGATGCGCTCCTCCTCGCGATGCTCGTTGAGCCACCGCACGTACTCGGCCTCGGTGCGGCCGTGGAGGACGTTCGGGAGCGGGAGGGCGGCGACGTTGGCGCGCGCGAGGAGGTGCTGCACGAGGATGAGGGTCGGGACGTCGGCGGTCTGCGCAGGGTCGGCGAGCGCGGCGAGGTCGAGGAAGAGGAGAGGGCGGAAAGCTGCGGCGTGACGAGGGAGAGGAAGAAGGTCAGGTTCGGGCTCGAGGCAGACAAGAGGAACGAGTGCGGCGCACCTCGCAAGGCCTTGAACTGGTCGCCCATGCTGTTGAGCCCGAGACCGTGACCGGCGAGGTACTGAGAGATGGCAAACTCGAGCGCGGTCGTGTCCGAGGTGAGCTTGAGTTTGCCGGCCTCGCTGAGCGGGTGGACGAGCGACGCATGGAGGAGGAACGTCTGGACGGTGAAACGGGCGAGGTCGAGGGCCCTGCGGGTGCGCGAGAGAGAACGGCGAGGTTCAGGACGTGCTGGCGAGGCATAAAGAGAGAGAACAAGGGGACGCACCACTCCTTGGCCAAGTCGCCGACGCGGTACGACGCAAGATCTCGTCCTTGACGAGCGCGAGCTTGTCGACGAGGTCGGTCATGTACGAGCTCGTGCCGCCGACCGACATGGGTCCGTGCCCGTGCGCCGAGTCGGCCTCCTTCGAGTAGTCGACGCGGTGCATGCGCGACAGGAGCGTCGAGTACTCGCGCCGGATCGACAGGATGAGCGGGTTGATGATGCCGAGGTAGACCGACCGAGTACGCTGTGGGCGAGGGCGAGAAAGAGGTCAGGCTGGATCGACCAGAGAGGCCGAAAGAGAAATAGAGGGCACGCACGTCGACGGACGGGCGCAGGATCTCGTTGACGCTGTCGGTGTGGTCGGCGAGGGCGCGCTCTAGTGGCAGCCAGAGGTGGTACAGCGAGCTCGTGAGGTCGGCGTTCTGGTGCTGCGACGGCGTCGCGAGCGGGCCGAGGAGCGACATGGCGGCGTGGTCGTGCACGATCTGCAGGAGCAACACGCCGTCAGTGCGGGAACGGCGTCGAGAATGGAAAGAGTGAGACGCACAAGGCCCTCGGACCGGCTGACGAACGTGTCGACGGCGCGACTTGCGCCCTTGGCGACCGCCTTGACGAGGAGGGGGTCGAAGCGCGCCGCGTCGAGCTCGTTGACGATCGAGCGAGCCGTCGTCAGGCCCTCGTTGGCGGTCGGGACGGTCGGTGGTCGAGCCGAGAAGGACGGGGTGAGGGACGACGAGATCGAGAAGGCCGACGTGACGGCCTCGGTGAGCCGGTTGGTCGACCGCGTGAGGTACAAGGTCTCGAACGGCTGGATGGCGCGCAGGACGAGGACCGTCTCGGTGCTCTGCTGGGCGAGGGTGTAGACCGTGTCGGTGTGGACGGCGATCTTGGAGAAGAACTCCTGGAACAGGCGGAGGAGGCGAGGGTAGCCCGTGCTGAGGGTCGTCTGGATGAACGAGGATGCTGCGGGACGGGGCGACGTCGTCAGGTTCGTGTGCGTGATGGTCGGGTGAACGTGCAGGACAGGCTCACAGCGCGCCGACTCTTTTGCCTGCGTCTCGAACGCCTGCGCGAGCGTAGTCCAGAAGAGCGCGCTCGGCTTGTTGTCGAGGACCTGCGCACGAGAGCTCGTCAGTGCCTGCTCAACGTCGCAAGCCGAGAAGAGGGAAGGACGGTGACGGACCGTCATGGCGTCGTCCAGGAAGCTCGTCTGGGTCGTTTGGTCCTTCTTGAGCCGCAGGACCTTCTCGAGCGTGTAGACCTGCAGGATGCGAGGTGTGAGCGCCTGCATCGGGAGCATAGGCAATAGAGGATAGACGCACCTTGATGCAGACGCTGCCGAGGTCGGTGACGAGGTTCTCGAGCCGGCCCCAGAAGACGGCCGACCACTGCGGCATGGTCGCCTGCGTCGGCTCGTTGCGGGTGCGCGACTTGTACACAAAGGCCGACGCGGCGTTGACGGGCCCATCTGTCGAGCACGCACGTCAGGAGGAGGCTTGCGAGGTAGAGAGGGAGCGAGCCGGGGCGCACCTTTGCCGCCGACCTCGCGCGAGAGCGAGGCCATGTCGAAGCACGCCTTGACCGAGCGCAGAACGAGGTCGTTGAGGTCGGCGAGGAGGCTGTCGACGAGTGAGGGTAGGACGAGGAGGTTGTGGGCCGTCTGCAAGGAGGACGCGAGAAGAGGGTGGTCCTGCGTCGAGTCGAGATCGGGTCAGTGCCCGGCTGACCCGAAGAAGAGGGAGAGGCGGTACGCACGAGGTCTGACAGCCCTCGATGCACAGACGTCTCCATCTCCTGCACGACGTGCTGCCGCGACAGCTCGACTGCAGGAATCGCCGCCTCGACCGCGACGAGCGAGCGGATCGGCAACAGCGCCTCCGGGTCGTCCTCGGCCGGCTCGACACCTTCTCCCGCCGCGACGAGCGTCTCTGCGTGACATAAGGCGATGTCAGAGAGGCCGGCAGGAGAGGAAGAGGAGGAGCCGACGCACCGATTTCTGCCAAAGTGAGGGCCGCCTCCGCCATCGCCCTCTCTCGCCGCTCGCCGACCCGCTCGCCCCGCTCCGTCTTTCCTCCCTCGGACGCAGCTCCATCAATTTCGCCCATTTGCGCCTCGAGGCGGCGCGCGAGCACCATGAACCGCTGAGAGCGGCGTGCGAGCGAGGCGGCGCGGCGAAGACGGGTGAGGAGGAGGAGCGAGGACGCGAGCGATTGGTGCGGGGTGGCGATCTTGCGCTGCAGCCTAAGCGGGATGCAGGAGTCAGTTCCGTGCGGCGAGAAGAGGGGTGGGAGGATCAGGGACGCACCTCGTCACCCCACCTTCGACCTCTGCGAGCCCCCGTCGCACCTCCGACAGGTCGTTGTCGAGCCCGCCGAGGCTCGCCGCCTGCAGCAGCAGTGACGAGTGGTGCTTGGTGACCTGTCGGACAAAGGAAGGAGTCAGTGAGGCACTCTGTCGACGACGGGAGGAGGAGAGGAGGAGGCGCACCTCGCCCTTGAGCTGCCGGTTGAGGTCCTCGATGCCAAAGTTGAGCCTCGCGAGCGCTGCCGACACGTCTCCCAGCCCGTTCTCGCCGACGAGGCCCTTCATGAAGCCCGTCCCGCCTGCTGGCGCGCCGGTCGGCGGCGCCTCGCCCTCGGCGGGAGGAGGATAGTCCTCGCCGTTCAACACGGCATGGGCGAACGCGTCGGCCTCGAAGTTGGGGTGCAGGAAGGTGGGATACTCTGTCAGGCGCAACTGGTCAGCTCTGGTGGGCCGGTAGGACGAGAGAGAGCCGTCCGACGCACGAACATGGGGGTCGGGAGGAGCTGATGGCGGGATGGCGGGCATGGTTGGCGGCGGCGGATGGGCGTGTCGGGTACGCCGCTGGAGCAGACCAAGCAGTCGCGCGCCTCACTCGAGGCCGAGGGCGGGTGTCGGAAGGGAGCAAGCCCTCGTCGTCGTCGGCATGTGCCCCTCTTTCGCTCGTCCGCTCCCTCGGCCGCCCCAGCTGCAGCTTGGACGCCTTTGCTCCACTCCAGCAGCTCTCAGGAAAGGCTTGGCCAGGAGCTGAAGCCACTCGGGCTTCTGCGACGACGCCGGTCTCGCTCGTCCGCTCTCATCGCTGTCGCTGCCGTGCACAGCGCAGCCTCCTCAGGGTGCCTCGCATGGAGCACCGATGTGCGCCGAGCTGCTCTTGCGACCGGCTGCGCGACCAGCACTGCTGCTGCACGAGCGTTGTCGGTCGCCCTCGTCCTCGCTCGCGCCGCTGTCGCCCGAAGCCTCTCTCTGCGGCGTGTGCCTAGCTCGTTCTCGGTAATCTCTCGTGTAACTGTCCGAGGAGTACCTCGCTCTGCCTGGAGCGCCCGGCAGCCAGCAAAGGTGCGGCCACCGCGCCAGGGGAGAGCGCATCCTTGTGCAGCGACGAGAAGCGTCCGCGCCACGAGCGCAGCCGCGCTATGGACAGCTCGAGATCCTCGGACCCTGTCGAGCTCTCAAGCGCACATAGAGAGAGGCCGCACGCGTCCTGAACGAGAGAACATGGCGAGCTGAGAGCGCGCATCGCTCTCACCGCTTGGCCGCCTTCTCCTCACTCGCTCACCTGCAGACCTCGCCGGTCGAGCAGCAGACGCCTCGCGAGAGAGCCCAAGTCCCCGACGGCTCTTGAGCGCTCCCCGCACACATCCTCCACGCGGCACCCGAGCCACCGGCCCTGCTCGCCGCTCGAGCAACATCCGTCGTTCCTCGCTCTTCGCCCCCGCCATCGACTGTACAGTCGCCTCTACATCATGGGCGTCCTCATCTGGCACGACTGGGCCCGCCTCCTTGCCCTCACCTCGGCTTTCTGTGCGTCCATCTCGTCCTCCTCCTCCTCCCACACCTCGAGCCCGCTAACTCCTCCACGCCCCGCTCCCGCAGCCGTCGGTTGGGCCGCCATCTGGGCTTTCTTCTACCGCAAGTTCTTCTGGGACTTTGTCGGCGCGACTCTCGGTCCCGGCGGCCTCGTGTGTGTCCGCGAGCCACCCTCCTCTCCTCGTTTCCGGTTGAGCTGACCCTCTCGTCGACCCCGCGCGCAGTCCGCCGCCTAGCGCAGCCATCTTCGTCAAGATCATCGTCGACTTCCCCGTCCTGCAGGTCATCAACCTCGTGCGTCGTCAACTCGTCGCGCACGAGCCGCCTCAATCAGCCTGACCTGTCACCGCCTCCAGGTTAACGCCCTCGTCACGCTTGGCCTCGAGTGGCCGCTCCCGCCTGTCGCTCGCCTCAAGATACACGGCTCGATGAGCTTCCGGGTCGCGCTCTACATTTGGTGTACGGGCGCAGCCTGTGAGCTCGCTCTCCCTCAAACTCGCGCTTCTCGGCCGGCGACGATTTCTGACACTTGGACCTGCTCGCCCGCAGCCTTCGTCTACCAGACAGCGTTCCCTGCGCTCTTCTACCTCGTGGCGGCGATGGCTTACGGTCGTGCTCTCGCGTGCGTCCACCTCCTTCTCGCCCTCCCCTTTCCCCTTCTCTCCCTCGGCTCGACATCTGTCGGTCCACAAACTGAGTCCTGCTCTCCCTCACTACAGCAAAGGCGAGACGATCGCTTCCGAGCACAAGCCCGCCGCGTCACCTCGTCCCGTCAAAGTCTGAGGCGTCCAGACGGGCGCCGCTCAGGCCTCCAGAAGCGCTGGTTCGCTTCCTCTCGTTTCTCTCCTCGGTCCTCTCTCTCGCTTTGCGCACCTTGTCTAGCAGTACACAGACGCAATGAGAATGCAGGTCTATCTGTCTTTGAGCGTGTCGGGGTCCGGAAAGAAGGGGGTATCGACGAGAGGAGGGAGGGAGAGAGGTCTAGAGGAAGAGGTCGAGGGCGAGGACGAGATGTCGCGGGGAAGAAAGGCAAGGTGAGGAGAAAGAGAGAGAGAGACAGTCCGTGGCTGCGCACGACAGCTCGCACTCGGCGAGTCAAGCGCCCTGGGGTGCGCCCGCCGTGCGCCTCGCCGCCGCCCTCAGCGCCTCGAGCGCCTCCCTCTCGCGCTCGTCGTCACCGCCCCGCGTCGCCCCACCGCGCTCCTTGTCCTGCTCGTCGCGCAGAGCGAGGACACGCTCGGCCTCGGCGGCAAACTCGGCCGCGACCTCGAGCTCCCACTCCTCGGCGGCGGCAAAGCCGCGCAGCTCAGAGGCGTACTCGTCCCACCCGCCGCGCAGGGCCCACAGCTCGTGCGGGAGGCGCAGGGCCGACGACGAGGTCGAGGGCGAGGGCGAGAGGCGCGCGGCGATGAGGTGCAGGAGGATGATGGGCGGGAGGGTGACGAGGGCGCTGAGGAGCGTCGGGCACTGGGGCGACAGCGGCGCGGCGGGGCCGTTGCCGACACTCGGGCTCGGGGCGGCCGTCGGCGCAGACGGCGCAGACTGCAGCGCAAAGAGCGCCGAGGGCGTGAGCGGCGCCTGCGCGTCGCTCGAGGCGGCGGCGGCGGGGCCGGCACCAGCCATGTGGCGCGGGCCCTCGATGGCGCGGCACAGCACGCCGAGGTCCTTGCTCGCGCGCACGACGACGACCATGGCCGACAGGGCCTGCATCGCCTCGCGCATGGCGCTGAGCGCGAGCCGGCTCTCCCTGCTCGGGTCGGGCCGGCGCGCGCCGCCGTCTCGGTCGCCGTCGTCGTCGTCGCTGCTCGAGTCGCTCGACTCGTCGTCGAACGTGCGGCCGGTGCGGCACAGGCCGCAGCCGGTGCCGCGGCTCGCCGCCGGGCAGGCCGACGGCGCGGCGGCGGCGGTGGTCGAGGGTGCGAGGACGGTCGCTGGGGTCGACAGTCCTGCGACGAGGAACGCCTTGAGGCGCGCCTCGAGGAGCTCGAGGTCCGACAGGAGCCGAACAAAGGCGATGTCGGCGGCCGAGGGTGCACGGGCTGCTGCGGCGGACGAACCGGCGGCGCCCGAGGCTCGCGGCCCGCCGAGCTCGACGGCAGGCAACGGCGGGCTCTGCGGCGGCGACGGCGTCTTCTTGATCCCGACGCCGCCGAGCAAGCCCCGGCGTACCGGCAGCTGCGTCGCCGCCGTGGTCGCCGCCTTCTCGCCCGCGCCCGGTGCGCCCTGGCCCTTCTCGAGCGCATCTGCGCCCGCGCTCGCCGCCGCCGCCGACCCGCCGACCATGCCGATCGCGCGCGCCGACAGGTGGAGCATGCCCTTCCAGCTCGCGGCCGTTGCGACGCTGACGACCCACTTGTCGGCGTCGCTGCCGCCCTCGAGCCGCGTCACGACGCGCACGACGGCGTCGAGCTGTGCCGACAGGTCCCTGAGCCAGGGCGGACCGGCGGTCGCAGCTGCGGCGGCCGCCGCCGCAGCCGACGACGACAGGACGCCGCTGCTGCCCGTCACGGGCGTCGGGACGGCAAGGTGCTGCGGCGCCGTGCGGCCGAGCGACAGCGAGCGCAGCTGCGACGTCGCGCTCGTCTTGAGCGGCGGCGGGACCGGGTGCGCGACGCCGTGCAGGCCGAGCGACGACGACGCGGCGGCGGCGGCGGCCGCAGCTGCGGCGGCAGGCAGCTCGCCCGACGACCCGACGGCGCCCTCGGTGCGCGCACGGGCGCACACGTCGGCGACTGCGAGTCTAGCACTCTGGACGAACGGGCCCATGACGCGGTTGATGAGCTCGGCGAGCTTGACGCGCCAGGGCTTGAGCGTCTCGTCGACAAAGTGCGGGAACCCGGCGCCGGGCTCGGCGACGAGGCGGAGCGCGTGCTTGACCTCGTAGGCGCAGCGCACGATCTGGAGGTTGAACCGGAGCGGGATCGAGAGCGAGTCGGCGTCCTTGACGGTGCGAGGGGCGGCGAACAGCGCGGGGGCGAGCGCCGGGTCGGTCGGCGAGGCGACGAGGAGGAGGGCCGACAGGCGGGTGAGGAAGAGCGACAGGGCCTTGAGGACCGACGAGCGCAAGAGCGTGCGCAGGAGGTACGTGTCGTGCGACGCGGCCTGCAGCTCGCTGTGGAGGGAAGAGGCGTCGGTCAGTCGATGGTCGGGCGTTGGAAGAAGGACGAGGAGGAGAGAGAGAGGGGACGTACGCCGTGATGAGCTCGCCCACCTCTTTTGCCCGTGCGAGTCTCGGCGCCGCCCTGCCCTTGCACACGACGGCGTGCCCACCAAACGGGCCCTCGGCCTTGTCGGCCGCCTTGTCGACGATGCCGCCCGGGCCCGTCGGGACGGGGAGGAACACCTTGTTGACGGCCTCGCCGAGGCGCAGGCCGACCTTGCCGACGTACGACTCGGCGAGCTGGTGCAGCTGAACGTTCTGGCCCTTGGCCGACACGTTGGCGTGCTGGCCGAGCGCGTGCGCGTGGCCGTGCGCGCCGCCGAGCGCGGTGACGGGCGTCGCGGCGCCCGAGTGCGCGAGCGGCGTCGCGCCGAGTACGGGGCTGCGAGACGGCTGTGCGCCGCCAAACGCGCCGCCGCCGCCGCCGAGAGCGACGTCAGGACCGAGCGAGATGGCGCGCACGGCCGTGGCCGTCGCGCGCGACGTGCCCGGCTGGCTCTGCGAGCTGCCGAGCGCGAGCCCGCGCCCGCGACCGAACGACGCCATGAGGCCGGGCTTCTTGGCCTTGGCCGCAGCGGCAGCGGCAGGAGCCGGCGCGGGCGGGCCCATCGACGAGGCGGACGACGCCGCGGCGAGCTGCGCGACCTCGACGACGCGGTCCGACGACTTGCTGCGCTGCTTCTTGGACGACGACGTCGCGGTCGAGGTCGAGCGGCCCGAGCGTTGCGGGCGCAGGGCCGACTTGTCGTCCGACGACGAGCGGTGCGGGCGCGCGCCGCCGGGCGAGCCGGGTGCGGACGCGGACGCGGGTGCGGCGGCGGGCGTTAGGGCGAGGTTCGAGGGGAGCGAGGGCGACTTGAGCGGGGCGGTGGAGGGTGCGGGTGCGGGTGCGCCGGCGGCGGGCGACGACGAGCGCGAGGTGAGGGCCGAGAGGGAGGCGCCAATCGAGCTGCGGCGCGACGGCTTTTGCTGAGCCGGCGCGGGCGCAGGCGCGGGCTCGGCGTGCTGCGAGTCGGCGGCGTAGTGCTTGGGCGAGGTCGAGGTGGAACGGTCGACGAGGACGGGCGAGACGGGTGCGGTCGACGGGGTGGAAGGGTGCGAGCGCGAGGGGGACGAGTTGCGCGAGAGGGAGAGGTGCGGGAGCGAGAGCGTCTTGGTCTTGAGCGACAGCATCGTGTCGTGGGCCTAAGACGGGCTGTGGAGGGTCGACGTGGGGGTGGTGGTGGTT